TTGAGGACTCCACGGCTTCTGGCTTGAAAGTGATGAAAGACACCATTCATAGAAATAGAGAGTACCAGAAGTGGAACAAGTTTTGGGGAAACATAATGAGTTCCATTTTGGGTAGTTTTTAGTTTAAGTGACCTAAAAGACATCAAGTAGTAGAGAGCTGAAAAGATGTGTTGAAAGCTCATGAGAGAGGTCGAGGGTAGAGACAGAGCAACAGGAATCATCAGAATTTAATTAATACTTAAAGCCACCATAATGGATGAGATTGCTCAGGAAACAAAAGTAGAAGAATATGACCAGGACAGAAGCCTTGAGGGCACCAACATTTAAAGAAGCAGGCAGAAGAGGAATAAGGAAAAAAGAAGAAAGAACTAGAGGGTTACAAGGAGAATCAGAAGTGAGTTGAACTGTGAAATCCAAGGAAGATAGTTCAAGAATAGGATGGCTTGATATTAATGATCTTAAAGAGGACCAAGAAAGGCTAAGAATGGAAATGTGTGCAGCAGCTTCAGAGTGGTGACATCAGATATAAAGTAGCACTAGGCTAGGAAATGGGAATTAATACAATCTGCTTCTTTAAGAATAATGGTGAATAGGGAAGAAAGGAGATAAAGATAATGGCTCGAAGGAATTAGAAAATAAAGGGGAAGTTTTTGTTTTTCAAAGATTATTTGTGCATGCTGTAAGTGAAAGAAACCAGAGAGGCAGAGACTGAAACTGTAGAAAGGACAGGGATTACTACTTTTGAATTCCTATAACATCACTGTATGATTCACTTACTTGGCACTTAGCTTACACATTTGCCTTGTATTGGCAGTATTGTACATTTAGCAATGCTGGCACAAACTAAGTGCTCAAAAAATCTACTTATGATTGTTTGTCTTCATGTATCTATACATATTATCTAGCCAGTAACAGTGTACAATCATACACAAGAATGTACAAAATGAAGGAAACAGGATGGTGGGATTGTGTAAACTTTGAGCAATATAAACCCAGAACAGTAATTTTTATCCACCACTTACTAGTACTTAGAACAAAGAAAAATTATTTTACCTCTTGGTTATCTCAGTTACTCAACTGTAAAATGGGGGAGAATACCATACACCTTGCAAGCTCTTGAGGATTAAATGAGATATTTTTAAAGCTTTTAATATACAACTTGTTGCCTAAGAAGTAATTATTATTTTGATTATTTTCCAACCACTAGAGCATCTAGAAAAGTCATTGACTTTTCAGAATGTCTATGACTAATGGTAAGTAAACAATCAGGAGGCATAGCAGCCATTGCTTTATCGTATTCTAGAGAACCAAAGCACAAAATGATACCTGTTCTCAAAGTCTGGTTATTCATATACCACCAACATGATTTCTGCCATATCCAAGTACTACAACTTAATATCTTTCTTTAAATCAACTCATTTTATGTAATCATAATCATTCTAAAAAAGTATAGCTGCAAAATGGTGAGTTTGATGTGCTGATCATTTTTTTTCTAATTACACAGTAACCATTAAAACAAAGCATTCATTCCCTTAATCACCCTAAATTATCTCCTGAATCACAATCTAAAACTGCTTTAGGTTGCTCTACTTCTGAGACCCTTAGGAAGCAATCAGGCAAGCAATTTGTGGGTTTACTTAATTTTCCTTCTACTGATTATCATTTACAAAGGTTTGCAGAGCATATAAATGAAACCAACCAAATCAAAAAATTCATCCCAACAATATACACTGGATCTTTTCATGGTAAGTCCGAAGTTGTCTAAAGCTAAACAGACAACCCAGCAACTTATCTATTATTTAATCCTTCCACCTCTACTTTCTGTATCACAAATGAAAATGAGACTGGGAATAAAGGTCCATCTTGTGGTCTAGCCCGAAGAACAAAACCAAAGAGGGGAGAGATACAGTAGTGGGTTTTGTTCTGAGGCACTGACATTTAGTCAAAAGAAATAGTAGGCATGCAAATCATCCAAGTGAAAAATTCCCACCTTCAAGACAGTAGAACACTCCTCTGAAAAGGGAAACCACAATCGGTTATTAATACCTTTCAAGTCTGTGCTACAATCCAGGGAGTTCTTCATCACTCCAATAAAAACAAAAACCGGGAGAGAACTTCACTCATTGATAACATCGACAGACACTTTAGATATGCAATTTTAGAGTTGGTCTTAAATCCATTATATTAAGAGCCACACTACACTCTTAAAAAGTCACTTCTACAATCCATTCTCTTAGGATCATTGATCTATTCATTATGGAAAAAAACAAGGTACTCTGCACCCAAAGTACACAGGGCATTATGGAGAATACAAAAAGATCAGAGTTTGTTTATAATCTAGCACAGGGAATAAGATTTATACATTCCCCAAGAGTGCTTCTAAGGACTAGAGAGAACTGCTGGGAATTTTTCCCCAACATTTTTATTACGAAAAACTTCAAACATATGGCAAAGTTTAAATAATTTTACAGTGAACATCTGAATACCCACGACTGAGATTCTACTATTTTTACCATACCTTATTTATCACATATCTATCTATTCAATCCATCTTTTTTATTAACTGCTGGGATTTTGAAAATGAGACTGTGTGGTGAAGTACGACAAAAATACACTAAGGGCTGCTTCTCAAAAGATTTTGACTGATGGGGTATATAAACAAAAAAAAAACTTTGGAAACCACAAACCCATACTCAGTGTTCAACCCTCCTGCCAACCTCCAATCAAAATCTATTCAGAGCTCATAACTGGCTATTCGGGTCTCCACACCCTTGTCCACTATCTGAACTCTCTTCAGTCCTCTTCATGGCTTAGCACCAATCCGTGAAGCCTTCCCCAACTTTCACTCCCTTAATCAGAATTAACCATGCCCCCTATAGGGGCCACATTTTTCATCATTTGCAATTAGCCCACAGTATCTGCAATTTATTATCTCTTTCACTAAACCTTGCCCTCCTTGAGGACAGGGTCCCCTTATTTACCTCTCAGTCCTCAGCAAGCAGCTAGTACTTGGCCTACAGCAAGCACTCTAATAAAAGAGTGAGTTAATGACCTGAACCGTCTTTAACCAGGAGCCAAGGAAGAGTTTAGCTGAGTGGGGAAATGATCTAATCACAGTGGCACTTTAGAAAGATTCATTTTATAGCAGCACTGTTGTTTAGAGTATGAGCTTTGGAGGAAGACCACATAGGCACAAATCTCAGCCCTGCCACTTATCTCTTGGTGACTTTGGGCAAGTTTCTAAGCCCGTGCCTCAGTTTCCTCATTTAGAAAACAGGGATAATACTGCTTCACAGGTTATTGCGAGGATGATGAGGTAATTTTTTTAAAAGCAGCGCATAGAGCGGCACCTAACACATAGTAAATATTCCATCAATGTGGTCACTATTGCCAGCAATCAGGTTAATAACGAGGTTAAAAATTCCTCACAAGCCTGGGTGGTAGCAGTGAAAACAAAGTGGAAAGAATGGCCATGAATAAAGAATCTACCTTAAAATGTTCAGTCAGAAAAGCAAGCAAATGTGTGCCTTTTTTTTTTTAACCTTGTATGAGATAGCTCACGTTTGGATGTGTTTAAACCAAAACAACTATAATCCAGGCACTCTAGGCACAGATTTGATGCTGAGAACGAGTCTAGCATGACTGAACTGTAGACACAACCTTTATAACCACTGCAAGCTTCTCTGTTTAGGTCTTTTAGTCTCTGAGCTAAAACTTGTTTCCTTCTCATTACTCCAGCAGACATCACTTCTTAAGTGATTCCCACAATCCCCTGTTCTGTCTAACTGTAAGGACAACCCCCAGGAACCTTGGTTGGGGAAATAGGTTTGCAGTTTCGTTCTACCGAACCCTGTACTACTTTTCTTTTTCTTCTTCCTGCCCACCTCCTTTACTTCCCCAGCCTTGCTATTCTCTACACGTAGGAACTTGAAACCTAAGAGTATGGGAAAGCAACAGAGCAGCAGCAGTGGTGCCAAGAACTGGGGATGCTGCCAAGCTGTTCCCCAGGCCCCATATGCAGTGACCCAACTACATGCAGATTGGACGTAACTGCCTATGGGGCCTTGCACACTTGATACTCCTTTTTGCTTCTGCTCATTTTCTTCCTCCCACTTAAAGCAACCTCCTCCCAAGCTTGTGACTCATTCAAATCCAATCCATCTTTGAAGACCCAGGTGAGGTCCGACTTCTTCAGGGAAGCCTCCCCTGACCACTTTAGTCCAAAGATATCCCACCAACCCCACATACAGAAAACAGGAACTGTACTTACTGTCTGGACCGTAAGGCATAATCACACATTGCTATAATTAAATGTTTCATGTGTATACATTTAACTTTCCAAGGGTATGAGCAGTGTCTCACATGTCTTTAAAACTCTTACACTCAGTGCGTTAATACTTGTTGAACAGTGACTGAATCAGTGGGTTTTTGTTTATGTGTTTAGGCTAAGGCAGGAGGAAGAAGATGCAGGTTGAAATGAGAAAGGCTGAATGGACAGATGGGTAAAAAAGCAGCAGTGGGTGAAGACGGAAAAACAATGTAGAAGAAAGGTATTCAGTTCACACCTGCTTAAGTGATTTACTGCGAGGCTGGAAAGAGATACAGGAGAGAGATGTCAACTGGAAAAAGCAGGGTAAAGGCATTTCAGTTTAAGGCAGAAGACAGCAGGAGAAAGGTGAGGCTACAAAAGAAATTCTGACTAGATTCTGCTGAAACCTAGTGGTAGGCCAATTGGATAAGGGAACCTAAAGGGAGCTACTGGGATGACATGAGTAGAGATATGGCCATGTAGGTGAGTGAATCCGTAGGGGGTAGTATGAAGGGGGGAGGTAAATGGACAAAATGGTAGAGGGTAGTTAGGCAGGTAGGTTAGCTGTTGGGCGGGTAGGTGGGTGGGTAGATGGGAGGCAGGGTAGTGGGTAAGTGGGTAGGTGGTTAGGTATTTAGTTGGGAGGGAATAGGTGTGGGGCTTATTATTTAAGATCCGGCCCCTCCCTCACCTTGACCCGGAAGCGGATGAGTGCTAGCCTCACGCAGTGGCTCAGGCAGGCCGGTGGCAGGAACCAGGCCCGCGGTGGAGGGGTGCCCTTGTTGCCCACGTGTCCCACGATCAGTTGCGCTGTCTGCCGCTCGGCCTGGCACCGACGGCCCCACTCGGCCAGCCGGTCCTTGCCCAGGCCCCCCGGGAACATGACCACGAGCTCCAGGCCGTCGCCGCCAGGATAGGCACAAGCCTGGCACAGCGCTGACAAGTAGCCCAGCATGGCGTTCCATTGGCCGCCACACACCCAATCCGTCTGGTAGCCGCCATAAAGCCGCGGCAGCGCCGAGCCGGCGTCCACCAGCACCCGGGCCCCGGGCAGCGGAGGGGGCGGCGGCGGCAGCGGAGGGTGCAACCCGGGCTGCGCCTGGCCGTGATGGTGGAAGTGGTGAGCGGGGTGATGGTGCCGAGTCGGCCCCGCGCCCCCGGAGTAGGCACCCAAGGCAGCGGGCGGAAGCGGCGGTTGCAGAGGCGCGGAGCCCCTGGCGGCGCGTGGAGCCCCGGGCGCTAGGGCGGCAGTCGGCGGCAGCTGGCGGTGCAAGTGCTGCTGCTGCTGCTGGCGCGAGACCGTGCGCGCGAGTTTGAGGAGGTCCACGGGCACTACGGCCCCGGGACAGCGCTTCTCCAGGAACTCTTGGAAGCCCTGGACACCCATGCTTCGTCGGTGGGCAGACGAGACAGCGGCTGCGCGAGCAGGCTAGGCGACGATCTGGGCGCGAAGCTGGGGGCGGGCGCGTGCGCACTCCGCGGGGGGCAAAGGGGGGCGGGAAAAGGATTCCCGAGGGGAGGGGTGAGGAAGCGAGGGAATGAGGGCGGGGAGAGGAGGAAACCACAAATTGGATTTGGGTAGAGAGAAGGGGAGAGGCGGACCGGACCCGGGAGAGGCTGGGAGGATAAAAGCGAGGATGAGCTCTAGTCACTTCTCTTTTTTCTCCTTTCCGGTCGCTCTTCTTCGCGCTTTAGAAAGGGTGAAGCCTCTTTCTTCCACCTCCGGGAGCCATGTTGCCTCGTCTTCTCGGTGGTACACGCTTTCTAGCTGGAGGAAGGGGAGCGAGGAGGGGCGGGGCGGGGAGAGGGGCATCTTGGTAGTTGTAGTCTTCTTTATGGCCTTGGGATGTAGTCGAGGAACCAGAATACCACCCTTCTCAGCCCTTGTGCTCACAGGGTCTCAGGAAGCGGGGCGTGATGATGAGTGTTTAGGAGTTGCACTCCAGCTCCTTGCATCCCACTGAGCTGCTTAGGTTATTTACTGCTTTTTCCTGGAAAAAGAGTTTTGGGGGAAGGATTGATGCATCATGGGAAGTTAGAGTGGATTGACTGAACTCAGCTAAAGTGAGCTAAAACTCCCCCGGAGGGAGGATTTTCCCCTTAGTGGAAAGATGATATGTAAAAGAGCTGTTGGTCCCAATTAAGAAAGACGTAACTGGTCGGGCGCGGTGGCTCACGCCTGTAATCCCTCCGAGGCGGTTGGATCACGAGGTCAGGAAATGGAGACCATAGTGGCCAACATGGTGAAACCCCGTCTCTACTAAAAATAAAAAATTAGCCGGTGTGGTGGCGCGTGCCTGTAATCCCAGCTACTCGGGAGGCTGAGGCAGGAGAATAGCTTGAACCTGGGAGGTGGAGGTTGCAGTGAGCCAAGATCACGTCACTGTACTCCAGCCTGGTGACAGAGCCAGACTCCATCTCAAAAAACATAAAGAAAAAGAAAAACTTACATTATTTACTTGCCTAAGGCAATGCAGAGACAAAATAAAATCGAATATTCTTGCCCTAAGCATCTCTTTGGGCAGGGAGATAATTACCAACACAAATTACATTACAAGTTGTCCCTTTTTGGTACTCCCAGATCTATGTCCTGGTTAGGGCCTTTGGTTTCCAAACTTCATTGTGTTTTAGTCTGTCGGGAGCTTTTCTAAATAGCTGCAAGGGCTCTAATTTCAGGTGTATAGAGTCATAATCTTTTGAAAAATGTATTTTCAACATACTGAGATGAAACAGATGCAGTGCCTGTCTTCTTTCTGGCTTTTAGGGCCGGCCCACTCTTTCAGCAGGAATAGAGCAGAAAACAAGATCTGAAATGAGTAGTAGCCAGATCTGGCTTGGAACTTACTGGAAGGTAGGAGATAATGGCAGGCAGAGTTAGAATGCAGACGTGCAGAACCCAAGAGTTATCAGGATAAATGAAATAGGGGAATACTCTATTAGGATGCAAAAGCAAAAAAGCTTCAAGCTACATAAAAGAAATTCTAAAATAGTGGAGATGGAACAAGCCAGATTGTCAAAGAATAAGTAGATGGCAAGGCAGTGTACATAGTTAACTCTTGAAAGCAAGCAGTGAAAGGAGAGAGCAGTGGCTTGAAGGGATGAAGGATGGAAGGAATGGAGGTTTTTTAGTATAATGGACACCTGTGGGACTGTCTGCCCAGGCCCTCTTTTCCGGGAATTGACCCTCCCCTTCCCGCATTTATAGGGTTATGACAAAAACTGCCATGTTCCTATAACCATAGCTTATTGGGTCAGAGGTGGGCACCTAATCCAACCTGGGGCAATCAAAATCTCATTTTCTAGAAATTTGGAATTGGACCAGAGATATCAGCTTTTCTCTAAGTGTAAAGCTTGGAAGCTGTCAACTAATTTTCCCACCAGAGGGACAGAAGTGAAAGATGCTGGTCTGCAGAAAGAGAGAAAAAATACAGACTTTCCGAGAAGAGCAGAGGTGAGAAATAGAGTCTGCATTGTGTTCAAGTCCCAGGTTCCAGATAATGCAGTAGTGTGATTACAGCTCACTGCAGCCTCGGCTTTATTTTTTGTAGAGACCCTAAAATGTGGAACAGATAAGATCAGAGACCTCTGCATCAGTTGATGGGAAGGAAGTTGGTATTCTGTGTTATTTGGCAGTGAAGCATTTGCTTATTGCTCTTGGGACTCAAAACAGCAGCCCCTTTGCTTGTATCAAGAGATCTGCATTTGCTGAGGGTCAGATATTCTTTGGCCTTGCTGAATTACAGCAGAATCTCAATCTTGCCTCAAAGGTTTCACCAGTTAGGAAACTGGCATCAAGGCAATTGGAATGAAGTTATCTATATCTGCCTCCTAAGTAGTACTCCTTGTTCTCCAGCTCTCCTAAATGTGACGAATAGAAGCCACAACAGGATGATCCAGGCTATTCCCTTTAGCAGATCTGAAGCTTCAAAGAGCCTAACTTGGCAAGATTCTTGGCACTTGTTTTTAGCATTCTGAGTCTCCTCAAATGAAACCAGCAGGCAGTCAAATAAGGTTTTAAAGAAGCTGTATCGGCCGGGCGCGGTGGCTCAAGCCTGTAATCCCAGCACTTTGGGAGGCCGAGGCGGGTGGATCACGAGGTCAGGAGATCGAGACTATGGTGAAACCCGTCTCTAACTAAAAATACAAAAAACAGCCGGGCCGTGGTGGCGGCTGCCCCCTGGTAAGTCCCCGCTACTCGAGGCTG